TATTTAGATTTGAGGACATTACACCAAAAGTTCTCAGCATTGCTAGCAATTTTTCAGCCTAGTTTAGAAATTAAAGTAGAGTTCTGCTCTCTAGTTTACTTGATGCCCAACCTACCCTATTTCTTACTTTTGCAAACTTGATTCCAATTCATAAGATGGACTTTTCTAGCAGTGTCAGTACTGCCCCAAATGAAGTTCCTGTTTAAATTATCTATTTTGTCACAAATATTTCTAGGAATTTCCATAGTTTGCATAAGATGGTTAGGGATAGCTGAAGTAACTAATTTCACAAGAGTAATTCTGCCAGCCAGAGAAAGATTTCTAGCTTTCCAACCAGACAACCTGTTAGTAAGTTTAGCAATGATGTCTTTAACATGGTTTCTATTAAGTCTGCTATGAAGAAAAGGGGTACCTAGATATTTGCCAAGATCATTAGTAAGAGGTATACCACATTGGTAGCTAAAGGGAAGGGCCTCACTCCTAGGAAGGTTAGGGGAAACAAACAGTTTTGACTTGTGAAGATTAATTTTTTGTCCAGAAATATCACAAAATTCAGTCAAATCTTCCATGATGCATTCACAGTTTCTTCTGTTAGCTTTAGCAAATAATATAAGGTCATTAGCAAAAAAGAGATGAGAGATAGGGGTGCTATGATTGACAACCTTAAGACCTTTCCAAACTCCATTCTGGGTTTTGAGTCTAATCATGTTAGAAACGTTCTCCATGCAAAACACAAACAAGTAAGGGGATATGGGGTCCTCTTGTTTGAGACCCCTTACAATATTAATGCTAGGAAGACGCTCACCATTCCAAAGGATAGAAGAATTAACAGAAGTAACACAATTCATGATGAGATTAATCCAATCAGGGTTGAAGTTAAATTCCTTAAGTGTGTGGTGAATAAAACTCCACGATATATGATCATAGGCTTTCTCGAGGTCAACTTAAGCACCATACCACCAGATTTCCCTTCTTATTCCTGAGGGTATGAATAATTTCTTGAGTTATGATAATATTGTCAGTGGTAGTTCTACCAGGGATGAAGCTACTCTGGTTGGGGCTAATGAGATCAGGAAGCAAAGGTCTAATTCTGTTGACAATGAGTTTGGCGATAGTCTTGTAAGTCACATTGCACAGACTTATGGGCCTAAATTGCTTAATGTTTTCAGGATTGTCCAATTTTGGAATAAGAACAATTAGAGTTTCATTGATCTCTTTGGGAATGGTATTGGTAGAAAAACAACGTTTGACAAAATACACATAGAGGGGCTCACTATTCTCCAATTTTGGTGATAAAAAATAGTTTGTAAGCCATCAGACCCAGGCACTTTGAAGGCTTTTATGTTTTTAATGGCTAGCCAAATCTCATGATTGGAAATGGGAGCTTACAGGCTCTTATTGTCCTCTCTAGTAAACCAGGTGTTATTGATATTCCTCCAATTATCCAGAATAATACTTCCCCCTGGGTTAAATAACTCCCTAAAATGATGAAGGATATGATTTTTGATTTCATCAGAATTAACAAGCCAGTTACTAGTATCATTCTTAAGCAAATTGATTTTCAATTTCCTGCACTTATTAAGGGTGGATATGTGGAAAAATTTGATATTTTGATCACCCAAGGTGATCCACTTGACTCTAGATTTTTGGAACTAGGTAAGTTCTTCCTGAAAAAGGGTGGAATTATATTGTTTGATGAGATCTTGTTCAAGCAAGAAAAGATTATGGGAATAGTTATGGGTTTGGGATTTTTGGATGCCTTCTATACGAGCTAAGAGAGATCTTTTCCTTCTGTAAACATTACCAAAGACTTATTTATTCCAAGTTTGCACATTATTGGCAAACTCTTTGATAGCTTCCATAAGATTAGAGTTCATGTTAGCCTAATAATTCAAGACGACATCAAAAAAATTCGGGTGACAAAGCCATGCAGCTTCGAATCTAAAAGTCCTGATTTTAGGATTAGAGGAGTGCATACCTTGGGTAAGTACAACCAATGGAGAGTGGTTTGAGTAGGTGCGGGTAGAGTCCTTACAGTGCCTTCTGGAAAAAGGGCTCTCTATTTGTCATTGCTCATGGCTCTGTCCAGCCGCTCCATGGTGTTAGCCAAGCCTTTCCTATTGTTTGTCCAGGTGAGTCTGGGACCGATACTCCCGAGGTCAATGAGGTTGCAATTATTGATTCTCTCTATGAATTTTTGAGCTTTGTTATGGTTTAAGTTTGAGAATAGCTTCTTCTTTCATTTTGGTTTGTGAAGTCGTTAAAATCCCCTGCAACTAGCCAAGGTCTCTCCATGGTTTTAGCAGTCTCTTCAAGGTTGACCCATAGTTCCTCCCTTTGAGATGAGTTTGGGCTAGCATATACAGCTGATATGATCCATTCCTCATAGTCCTCCTTGTGTATGGTAGTTTGGATAACTTGATTAGTAGCATGGGATGCTCTGATGTTGACTTGGTCAGTGTCCCAAAATAGCCAAATTCCTCCTACTCTTCCTATTGGGTCCACTATGGTTATAGCAGTGAACCCCAAGTTATTGAAGAAATTGCCCATAGCACTGTAAGGGATTTTAGTTTCCATAAGTATTAGTATAGCTGGTTTGTGAGTGCTGAGAAGCTCCCTCATGTTGCGTTGAAAGGCATTGTTGCATGCTCCTCGGCAATTCCAAAACATCATAATGAAAGTATTCATAACAGGGTAATCAGAGAGAGGGTCAGTAGCCAAACTTGTGAGGATGCTTCTGATCCTTCTATGATCTTGGTCCCTTGATCTCATTGATGTCATTTGAACTAAGTGAGTTGATGGCTCTATTCTGGATGACCAGTTTGGCTCTATTCTCAGCCATAGTTGTTCGATCCACCATACCATAGTGACGAGGTGAATTTCTTCTCCCCCTTGATCTAACATTAGGTTCAGATGGTGATTCTTCATCCTATGTATTAAGACCTCCGGCCGTGGGATCTTTTTGGTCTCCATGATGGATTCCTAGATCAGACGATTTTCTGTGTTTGGGAGTTAAGAGTCCATCTCTGTTTCTAGGTAAGAGATCTGATGAAGGTGGGTGAGATGTTTGGTTTGAAGGTACTTTCCCAGATGATTCAACCATTGATATTTCTGGGGTTTCAATTTCTTTTCCCAAAGGACTTAGGTTGGCAGTCGGCTGAACACTAGGCTGTTGACTATAGGTTGCCTGGGACAGAGAGTCCTTGTCTTTAGTTTCATTAGCTTTAGGTGGAGACTGCTCTGGTTGGCTATGGATTTGTTTTTGATTCATGTCAGATTGTTATGGGTTGAGAGCTTGTGGATTAGCTGTTTTGGTCTTGCTTGACCCAACTTGGGTTTGAAAGTGAGGGTTGGATGCTTCTTTATCTAGGCCCAATCTTGTAGTTTTCTTCCCTCTACCGTGGGCCTCTTCTTGTTGGACTCCTTTACCCAATTCTGTGAACCTATTTGTGTTTGGGCTTGACCCAGATGGTTAGGCCTTTATATGAATTGTGACCTTCCGAGATCTCTTAGTGACCATTATCCATGGTCCATATGTATCATCTTCTCTGTTCGTATGCTGCAAATTACCGTTGGTACCAGAGGTAGTCATCGTAGTTTGATTCGTATTCCTTGTAATAGCTAGTTGTCGTTCCTCCGCCAGCGGCCTGCTCCGGTGGGCCTCTTGTGGTTTGTGATTTGCCGCTTGATATTTACATAGTTCTTTGCAATGATCAACCTTGCAATAGTAAAAACAGAAAGAGTGGATGGATTCATATTCTATATTGTAACTTTTCTTACCTAATATGAATTTGGGACATAATGGTTTGCTTAGATCTACTTCAATGCACACTTGAGCAAAGCGACCTTTGGTAGCCATGGTTGTGGTCATATCAATTTTTAGAGGTTTACCAATCTGTCTAGCTATTGCATAGAGCACTTTCTCTTGAAAATATTCTATCAGAAGCTCCGGAAACCTAACCCACATAGCGGTAGAGGTTTCAAAGGCTTCCGACGCCTTAAAGTCAGGCTTTCATTTGCGCACTGTTAGGTAGTGGTCCATAATGACCCACGGTCCTCCTGAATAAACTTCAGCATGGTCATTCCTGGATGAGAATTTGAATAAGAAATAATTGTTGCCTAGATCTATGGCATTGAATTCATCTCGTAGGCCCCATAATATTTTAACACTTGTGCAGAGCAGTTTGTATCCAATGCTTTTACCAAGAAGTCGGACTATTAGAGTATTAGTCCAAGGTTTTCGAATCTGCTCCAGCAATTTCTTAGGAAGTTGTACTTGTGGGATACCCTGGTGGGTCTGGGGAAGATTTCCTTCATAGATGTGGGTGTCTCCCTCATCATCTTCCTCATCTATCAAAATTTGATCCATGGTCTCATCAAAGTAGAAATCATTGTTTTTGGGAGCTGCTAGAGCTTTCTTGAACGATGTTAACTTTTGGCCCTCCGTTATCGGAGAATGGTTTGCAGTGGCTTGCGATTCATGCTCGGTTAATTAGTGAGAGGACAAGTTAGGGATTTTAGCAATATCCATGCCTGTTTCACCTGTATCTTCTTGGCTTTTGATCTTTTTAGTGCTTTTGATCAAATGATCTTCTTCCTCTTGGGATTCCGTAACTGAGTCTGTGTTGCAATTTGTTGGGTCACTCATTTTAGAGAGAGAGAGGCTACAATTTGTTATGTAGAGTTAATATTTGTTTATTGATGATCTTATATTTTTTAAAAATATATATACATATGCCTTTCAAGAAATATCAAATTTTTTTTATTTTTTTATTTTGACACAAAATAAAAATAGAAAATGCATACAATTTCAAACTTTTTTTCATTGTTTTATTTATTTCTAAAAATACGGAAAATCAAAATAAAGAAACAATAACAAAAAGACAAACAAATAGGATGGTTTAGAAGTAAAAAATATCACCTTGTTTGGCTTTGTGAAAATTTTTATTTTTTAATTTTTATATATGCACAATTTATATATATTTAATAAGTATAATATTTGTATGAGCGAGGCTACATTATAACGTTTTCGTGAACCGTCTCCAAATATGGTAATGGAAGAAGACAGGGCATAGTCCCCGATAGAGTACATTGATTGACAATATGAAGAAGAGCAAGAGTCTCACAAGCTGTCAAGAGCGAGAAGCAAGTAAATTGAAGAAGAGAGAGAAACAATCGATCATCGCCTTGTCATTGTTGCGATTAGGGTTAGGGTTTGTCTTCTTACTCTCAGTTTTCTAATGGCTTCTTCGAATGCTCAGCAAAACGCCGCTAAACCTGCTCTGAGAAAGCCGGTGTTCGTCAAGGTCGATCAACTCAAGCCTGGGACGAATGGTCACACTCTGATCGTGAAGGTTCTGAATGCGAACGCTGTGTTGCAGAAGGGCCAATCGGTGTCGCAGCACCTCCGCCAGACCCGCATTTCCGAGTGTCTCGTCGGTGACGAAACCGCCTCGATCCTCTTCGCCGCACGCAACGATCAAGGTACATGAATCGGAACTTGTTTGGTGTTTTTGATCATTTTGAAACCCTACAAAATTTGTCTTTTTTGTTGTTGTTTGTTGGATATTGATCGTCTATATCTATAGTGTAAAGCCCTAATTTTTGAAATTTAGAAATTAGCATTTTAAGGTTCTTTAGTGGTTTATGAAATATTGAATGTTTGATTTTATGTTGTTAATAAGGGAGAGAAAATGTAGACAATCATAGTTGATTTCTCTAAATTTTCGTTATATATACTGCTAGAATCATTTCAGTTTTTTTTTACAATTGAATTATTTCAATTTATAGATGGATTCATGTTACTTCAAATTGGGAGGTCAGAACTCAGATGCAGTGTTAATTAGTGCAATTTTTTAAGAAAAGAAGAAGTTGGATTACTAGTCTACTGGACAAATGTAAGTGATGGTGGAGCAGCAAAAGCCAACGATATAGATCTGACTAGTAAATATTGGGAAGAGGCATAGGAAGGTGTGGGTCTTGGCACCTTTGTTGTGGATGGTTTGGTTGGAGTGTAACCGGCTTATCTTTCAAGGTGTGGATGAGTTGGTAGTTCATATGAAGGCTTGGTTTTCTGATGATTTTGTGTAGTTGGGCATTGTGTCTCCGGATTGTTTGCTTTTTTGGATTTTATAAATTCTGTGTGTGTTTAGATTTGGGTTTTGTTTGATTTTTACTTTACATTCGTTAGTATCATCTTGATGGTTTTTTGGTAACAAAATTCACTTGCATTTATTTTTTAAAAAAATGGATGTAACAGTGAAACCATGTGCCGGTATCACCATCCAATAAGCAATCTTGATTTGCAGCAGGGATGACTGCCAAGTCGTATTCTCACCTTGGAAGTTAATGAGTTTACAGTCATGACTGAAAACTGATTAAGGGACTAGTTTAAGGAAGGAAACTACATAAGACTTTGAAAGTACTTTAATGGCGACATCGAACAATTAGAAGCATAGTTGTCAAATCGGGATTCGTATTGTGAATCGAAATGGTCTTGTACCGAATCGCGAATTGAATCGAATCGTGAATCGTAAAGATTCGGTCACTTTTTCTAAATTACTTAAAAACATATATCTACACATTTAGATGTTAAATATATCTTATGAATATAAAATATTTAGACTTAAATTAATAAAAATGTTATTTTGAATAATAATTACGTAGTTTAATAGGTAAGAAATTAACAAAGGTTCCTATGTAAAATCACCATATTACCTTTTTTCTTTTTTAGATATTTCTTATCAACCATTTTTAATAAAGATGTAATATGACCATCTTGCCTTTTTTCTTTTTTAGATATTTCTTATCAGCCATTCTTAATAAAGATAGTAACCAAATAGACAAACTATCAATTTCCAAAGTAACAATAATTAACAACAATGTTGATATTTGGACAATAAGCATATATACTTTTCTAAGTAACAGTGAACAAATAATAAGAATGAATTATTTAGAATTTTTTATTTTAAAGCCTAAAACATTTTAAAAAGTATAACTGACCTCACACATGTAATATTCAATTTAATAAAATAGTAATAGATAATTCATAATGTAACTTTAATCTTAAACATCTTTAGAAGATATATTATGATTTTTTAAAAGGAAAAAAAAATGAGAAGAAATGTTAAAAATATGTTGGGTCTGATTGATTCTAATTGGATCCTATTAAAAACTCTATGATCACTAAAATAACAATAAATCATGTATATATGTTGGTTATTTTGGTATTAAACGCTATTAAAAGTTGTATTATGTCATTTTTACTAAAAAGATGAAGAAAAAAAGAGTCGAAAATATGTCGTACACAATAATTTCAAAAATTGCATGAATCGAAAAAAGTGAATTGAATCGTGAATCGTGCGATTCACTAGAGATTCACTTCTAAAATAGATTCACCCATAAATTCGTATCGATTTTGCAAAAATTGCAAATCGAATCGCGAATCGTAAGATTCTGATAACAGAGATTAGAAGTCCAATGAAGTCACCTACAAAATCTACAAAAAGAACGTATAGTTTCAGTAATTATAGCACTGGCCACAAAATGAAGAGATTTCAGCAGTTCAGCACAAAAGGCAACTCTTGCAAACGTTGATGAGCATCATACTCTAATTGGTACCAAATTGATGAGTCTATTGGAATGAAACGATTAAGCTGTTTCAGAATATCGTTTTATACTGATTCTTGAATAAAAATATCAAATTTTGTATGGATTCTCACTTCCCCTGATCATCCTTTTTTAACATCATCACGGCCTTTTGAAGTTTATGGTGATGTAAAAAGTAAATGATTGTGGTGAAATGTGTAGTAGTTGTGTGATTTATGCTATTACAGCATATTGCAGTTTCTTTTGATAAGATTGTGCTCTGTGGCTATCATTTTGATAATTTTCATCTACTTGCATGCAGTTATCTGTGTCAGGACTTTCAAAATGGATGAAGACTATATTTTGAAATATAATTACCATGGCGGCGCTTTATGCATTGCAGAAAGTGATAGAATCGCTCATTTTGTTATGGACTCGTATAGTTAGAGTTGGTTGTATATATATATATTTGTCTTTCCTTGATTCGTGGTAATCTCCTTGCTGTATTTTTGTACTGTTTCCTCTTGGTAATGATTTTCTGTTAATATTTCTCAGTTGATTTGATGGAGCCTGGTGCAACTGTCGTCCTCCGAAATGCAAAGATTGACATGTTTAAGGGATCCATGAGGCTCGCAGTTGACAAATGGGGCCGAATTGAGCTCACTGAACCTGCTTCTTTTGTTGTGAAAGAGGACAACAATCTCTCCCTTATTGAGTATGAACTTGTGAATGTTGCGGAAGACTGACCGCAACCTTTTGGAAGCTGCAATGAAATATAGAGAAGATTCGAAATCTAAAAGCCGCAATAGTTTGGTTTTGCTGTACTTTCTGTTGACAGCTGCTTTTGTGGTTAGTAGTACCCCTTCTGTTTTCTTTCTTTTTTATTTCTTACTTTTGAAAGAATGGATAGTTTGAAATTGGTTTAGAATCCGTTGTGTTGGAAGAGAAAGCTCAATGCCTTGCTGGACATGGAAGTGTAAAAAGAAAATTCTGGTGTTTATGAAAGTGGATCATATTGCTTTAAATTACGGTGTTTATTTTTACCCCTTTTTTTAAAAAATTATATATCTATTCTAATATATAAAGTGAAGGCTTTTAGTGGTGTTGACATGTTTATGTTCCCATATTTTGAATTTTTCCAAATTATACTTGTAAATTGATGTTTATGTAAAAACATTCCAAAATATACTTGTAAATTGATGTTTATGTAAAAAAAAACGAGACAAGGCTTGAAATTAAGATATCATGGGTTTGGAAAAGCCAGTCATTACTACTTGAGCAACACATTATATGCATTTTTTCTTTCTCATTATTACGTTTTCTTTTAACTGCACATGCATTGCGTGTGCGGTCCACTAGTGTATATATGGTGTCGTTTGGAAAATGGTCGGCTTTTTGATTTTTTTGACTATTTTAACCTGGGTTAAAAAGCTTGGTTTGAGAATGATTTTTTGACTTTTTGATTTTTTTTTATTTTTTTTTGTGAGAGAAGAGTGTGATGATTTTGAGTTGGATGTAATGTTTTGTTTGTTGTGACTAAAATAATCTATTTAGTCTTTTATAGTTAAAATAATCTCAAACCTATCCAAACCCACTTGTCAAATCATGCCTATATATGTTTTTTTAGTTTGTTATGCAAGCAAAGAACATAAAAATGTCATTAATATTTTATATATATGGGCAGCTAGGTGGGTCAGATATCATTAGTAGCGTGATCAGATCATGTTTATCTTAAGAAAATAGATGATTTATTTCCAAAGCCGTCAATTTTTTCATGGTTTATTGCCAAAGCCGTCAATTTTTTTATTTCTGTTTTATGTTTTAAGGATGAACGCGATCTAATCATGTGTTCCTACCGATGTTTGATTTAACTTTTTTAATGAGAGTGATCATCTCAATTAAATTTATAAAAAATTTATAAAATAAACGATTTGAATTATTAAGATGGGTCAAGATTAAGTCTACAACAGAAAATTAGAGGATCCAATCAATTTTATTGACCGCAGAAAAGTTAATCCTATAATAATAACTATAACGGATATATTATGGTATTGTAATACTTAAATAGTGATATGTGTTAATGATGAGATGATATTACTATTACATTAATTTTTTTACCTTAATTTAAATATCTCTTCCACAATGAGAGGAAACCGTTTTGACATCTTTTCTTCCCTCCCTCTCTCTAATCACTGAGATTTTTATTTTTATTTTTGAATTTTTTCTTTGTTCCACCGTGAAAGGCTCTCCTTCAATGTAACAAAATCTGCAGGAGTAGAGAGAAGAGAATCAAACAAACAACAAAGAAACGGAAGAGAGAGAGAGAGAGATATATATAAATTTAAATGGCAGATTGCAGGCCATTGGGTTTCTTGATAGGACTGCCATTCGCTTTCATTGCTTTTCTTCTCTCTCTTGTTGGTGCTGTTGTTTGGGTCCTCGGGTGAGTTTTTGTTTATTCTTCTTCTTTTATATTCTTTTTTTCTTAATTCAGACATGAATTAATTCTCTGCAAAACAATGCAAAACCTTCTTCTTCTTTTTTTTTCTTTTCTTTCATCAAGCCAACCATCTCTTGTATGATCTTTTATTTTGTAAATGTCTTCTTCCATGCATGGTTTTTGCTCATATCATCTTTTCAAACTAGGGGTTTTAGAGTTTCTCACAAACGTAAGTATGCACGTAACGGGAGATTCCATGACATGGGATTAGTAAAGACATGATATAAAAAAAAAAATATAATTAGACTGTTTGGTTGAGTTTTCAAAATTTATTTTAAAAATTAATTTGATAAAACTAAAAAAATCACTCCTAATTTGCAAATGATTCTCTTTTTTTGGAGGGAAAATGCTTTCAAAATTTTGAAAAAAATTATGTTAAAGAGCAATCATCCTTTTTCTTGTGATTTTCTCTTTCTTTTTCTTTTTTTTGGAGGAAAAATATATTTTTTTAAATTTGAACATATTTTTTTAGTATTTATTATTTTTGTTAAAATAAATTTTATTTTATTTTTGAAAAAAATACAAAAAAAAGTGAATGTGATTTTATTTTGTTGTTATGTGGAGGAATATCATAGGGTGGTGGATTGTATTCTAGAATTAAAATATGAAAAATGATTTAGATCTTTAAAAAAAAAGCTCTAATTTGTCTTTTTCCTCCTCTTTTTTTTGTCTTTCAACAATGATTCATCCCACTAAAAACATCACCACTAATAGTACTAATGCATTAAAAAAGTAAAAAAAAAAAAAAAAAAAACTCCTCATTTTTTGTCTTTTACTTCATTGCTTTTTTTTTTTTTTAATTTATGGACAGCTTATTAGAGCTGTAATGCAGCAGCTCTATTTAGAGCTCTGCAGCAGCTCGTTAAAATATTTTTGTCTTTCCTTTTTATTTATTGTTTTGTAATAGAGTTTGCACCTGAGTAATGATGTGGCTCAATGATTATTGATTTTATTTTTTTTATTTTTTTCCTAAATGTAATGGTGGCAGGAGTGTGCTGAGTTGCCTGTGCCCTTGTTGCATATGTTGTGCTGGGATTGCAAATTTGGCAGTGATTCTTTTGAAGTTTCCTGTTACAGTCATTAAATGGTTCACTGACCTCATTCCTTGCTGACTCATCATTATTAGTATCTAATGCCTTAGATGAGATTAGTGTTTGTTTGATAATTAGTATTTGAATTATCAATCATTTGGATTATATCTTTCAACAGTGATTCAGACCTTTAAAAGTATAGTTTTAATTTGAGTTCTATTGAGTTAGCAAAAAAACATACACACATCACATTACAAGTGAGATTTACTATATTCAAACTCTCTTTTTAGATCTCTAAATTATTTTTTTATATATTATGTTTCATATTTGGATCGACTTACAATTATAAGAAATGATAATGAGTCACGATAACACAAATCGAAAATGACACGACATAATAATACGAAATAATAAACCAGTCAGGTTAATATTAAAGTAATTCTAATACGAACCTAATATGATTAGGCACAAATACAACAAATACGATACGATGCCCACCCCTGGTCATAAACCGAACCTAGTCTCTTAAGTTTGTGTGAAAATTTCTTCGTAATAAGCCAGGTTCTTTTGTGGTGAGAGAGAGAGAGTGTGTGTGAGATATAAAATGGGAATTAAAAAAAAATGTTTGAATTAATTAGTTATTAACTAGTTATAAAATGGAAATTATATCTCACACTCTCTCTCTCTCTCTCTCCAAACACAAAAGAAAACCTAGCTTACCAAGGAGAAATCTTCACACAAACTCAATAGATTAGGTTCAGGTTATGACTATCCAGTCTATTCGAAAGATAGAAGAGAAACCAACTCTTAATTTTATTTTAGGGTCTTGTTAATAAGTGCCCATGAAACATAACAAAATGACAATAATAATAATAATAATAATAATAATAAGAACATATGACAATTTTTGTTTATTTTAAACCACTTTTAAAAAAATTCTCTCATTTCCAAATATATGTTTTATTCGATCCGTATAGTATTGAGCGGTATCTCAAGGCACTAGTCAACGTATGCCATTATTTTCTTTTGAAAAATACTAAACATACAAAATTTTATACCAAAAAAAAAAAATGCAAAATGATGTGTGAATAACAATTTAGCAATTACACATTCTAGAGACATATTTTATTTTTTAATAAATGAATATGAATAGAGCATAGCATTCTATATGAAATTTATATAGCATTAAAAGTTTCATTTTTTCATAACATTTTGTCTAAATGTAAAGGATAGAGTCTCTTAAATGGCCAACGTTCATGCACTTGAAAAAGGGAAGACCTAGAAACTTTGAATATGGTGTGAGATGATCCAAAAATAATATTTAAACCAAAATTTCATGTTTTAATTAAATGGTATTAATGCAATCTGACATCACAGATGCATGAACAATTATCTTAACCAAAATATAGCTCAAGTGTGGCTCCCCACACTGCACTCTTTCAAACCAATTATCACAATTATCACATTAATTTGTAATCTAAATATATAAATTTAAATATTTTTGTATAATATTATTTTTAAAAAATATCTATAGAGAGGTAGGGGAGTATTACTTTACCATGGAGTGTAATTTGGTGAATTTTTCATTGAATACCAGCTCTTCCTATCAAGAAAAAATTCAACATAATAGTACATCATGCATATAAAATTTGTTATATACAGTGGCGGAGCCGTAGAGGGTCCAGGGGGGCATGTTTCCCTTGGGTTTTGGAATAATTTTTTTTTTTTACAAACATAAAAAAAATATTTTAAATATTTTAAATATAAAATATTATTTAGAGTGAAATATAATGACATTTTAAAAAGGGGATGCACCAATAAATCCCAAATTAATAACTTATACACTATTTAGTTCTAAAAGTTTTCTTATAGACTGAAATGTCCCATTACAATGTTTCAAACATCATATTAATATATTAATGTTTCGAACATTAGATTTTGAACATCAGATTAATGTTTCAAACATTAGATTGATGTGCAAATGGGACTAAATGGAGCATAAGAAAACTTTTAAGACTAAATGGTTTAACTTTTCAGAAACTAGGACTTATGGGTAAATTTTTCTTTTTAAAATTATGAGAATAATAATAGTTGTTTTTTTTATTGAAAACAAAGATATTACGATAAGTCATATTATTATTTATGAAAATTTTAATACAATAACAATGTTTATCATTATTGACATACAATTAAAATTAATCTCAATGAAGATATGAAATTTATTGAATTGTTAGTTATATTTGACATGTAGGGTTTATCCTTTATGTGTTTCTTTACTATTAGTTGGTGATACCATATGTTAACGATGACGTGATATTACTATTATATTGAATTTTTACTAAAATTTTGTGTAAAAAATTATTTTATCATTATATAATTTATTTTAAAACTTTTATCCATGACTTTTTTTTTTTATATATTGTCCAGGATATATTAGTTACAAATAATACATATATATCTTTCTTGAAGTCAATCATAAAAATTTATGTAAAATATTTTTATAAAAATTTTCAATGTTATAATTAATAAATGTCTCATCTGATTTAATTTTTTAGCTCCATCACTGATTATATAGATGTGATAATTATTGAATTCTCTTGAATCACATAACTACATTCGAATAGTTAAATTCATGATATTATATATTATTTTATTATTAGTTAATAATATTATATATAACTAATGTTATGAAAGTTATGACAGGATAAGATGGAAACTAAGGGCAAAAGGTTATTCAATTAACGACTTATTATCGAATGTATAACATATTAAACATCGTATTTTTTTATAAAAAAATAAAAAATAAAAATAGAGGGGCAAAGGGCTCTTCGGCCCTGTTTGGTACAGCTTAATTTCAGCTTATTTCAGCTTTCAGCTTAATTTAAGCTATTTTGATGTGTTTGGTTTAACTTATAGCTTATAGCTTTGTGGAAGTCAGAAAACAGCTTATTCTTTGAGTGGGGCAGGAGATGCTTTAAGAATAAGCTGGAAATCAGCTTAAGCTGAAAGTTATAAGCTATAAGCTGTTTAGGCATAAGCTATAAGCACTTTCCCACAGCTCTACCAAACAGGGCTTTCAAGGGATAAGAATCGAGACACCTATTTGTTGTTTTAAACTCTATTTATTAGATTCTAAAAATAAAAAAATAAAAAAACTTTTATTAGATTCTTAGGCTAAGTTTGGCATATTGTAAAAAAGTTAAAAAGCTAAAAAATTACTCAAAAAATTAAAAAGTTAACAAGTTAACACTATTCACCAAAAATCAACAATTACGGCTGCACAACTCTCAATCCTAATTTTTTCCTACAAATCAATTTCTATAATTTTTTATTACACATTTTTTCATAAAAAGTTAACCCAAACATCTATATTTTATTCCTCAATTTTTTAGTCTAAAAAAATAAAAAATATACTTATTTAAGACACTCCAAACAACCCCTTATTTGAAGTAGAGGCAATATTGGCGATGTCCTTTTCTTATCCAATCTGTACGTTGAGAAAAAGACTGCAAAGTAGGAGCAATGTTGTTGAATTATTAGCCAAATATTGGTCAATAATATATATATATATATATATATATATTTTATAAATGAGAGCCAATGTGATGTGGATGTAACCATCACATTGGTTACTTAAAAAATTAAAACTCCATAGGACCAAAATATCATGGATGAACTCACATATGAAGTAATTTTTAGAGTTTTTTTTTTGTATATTTGTTAAATATAAGAATCCGTAATTGACTTATACAAGACATAAAATATTTAAACTTAATTGATATATGTGATCTATAGTTAATTATAAAAAAAAATTATAGACAAAATTCTGTATCAACTGGTAAAAATGTGAAAAAAAAAAAAAAAAAAAAAAAAGAAAGAGTTTCCCAACTCAAAACTAAGACGGGATGAACCAAAAATTGCTTTCATTGAAGTCACTTTCTCCTCCCGTTTCAAGGCCGAGGCAAGTTCACAAATAACTTAAAAAGGCAAGTTTGACAATATATTATTTTAGTAAAAAATTTTAAAAGTTATTATTAAAAAGTCAATTATATTTTTTATTTTTTGATTTTTTTTTTTGTAAAAAGTCAAAAAATTAATTAAAATAATCAATTCTAAAAAAACCCTCATTAGACCATCTCCAACCCTAACGTTAGATTTGTCATCAAATTTAAATTTGATGAACACGTTGGGCTTGTTTGGTTTATTTTTGGGATAGTTGTTTTTGAAATTTTTTTAAAAAAAAATTTTTGGTTTGTGATTTTTTTCAAAAAAAATTCAAAATTACTTCTCTCTCTTATACATCAATCAATCATTTTTTTCTCTCTCCTCTGTCATTCTCAGTCACTTTTTCTTTTTTCACATATATCTACTCAATTACAACAAAATATCAAATCATCCCAAATTTCCAAACTACTTTCAAAATATACAACTAAACAAACTAAAAAAATTTCTAAACTCTCTCATCAATTTTTTTTTTTTGAAAATCACTTTCTCAAAAGCCAACCAAACACACCTGTTATTTTTTGAATTCCAACCGTGACATCAAACCTGTATCAAATGAAAGAAAAAACAAAAATTTTATCAAATCAAGGGAGCGTTTAGCCTTTCATCAAATCTCATAAGTAATCGTTGGTAAACGACTGGATTGGAGAATATTTGATAAAAATTTACTCTAGGCCGGACGACTAGTCGAATGATTGACTGGACGACTAATTGGATGATTGACTGGACGACCAACATGATTTAATAAAATGTTTATAGTGCATCATATGAAATCAAACGTCTATTCAAATTTAATAAAACGTTGGAGATGTTGTTATCAGGTGTATCATGTTTGATCAAAATAATAACAACTCATATATTGTGGGGTATTTTGAAAAGTTGGTTAAAAGTTAATTCTTTAGCTTTTTTTGATTTAAAAAAAAAGTGTAAAAAAGTAATATGATCAAAAAATAATAAAAAAAACTAAAAAACTAAGGCTCTGTTTGGAAGGGTTTTGGAATTTTAGTTCTACCCTTTAGTTTGCATATGACGTTTGTTTGCAATTTTCAAAAATTAATTCCACGTTCACTTTTAAAAACTCGGTTGAAGTCGGGAAAATTTAGACTAACCGGTCATCCAACCGGTCGTTCAGCCGGTTGACCGGAACAGTGTAAATTTTTTTTTTTTGGACACATGTTAATTTTTATATGTTCAACCAAAAAAATTTTCCAATTTTTTTTAAATTTATTATGAACTTTAATAAATTTTGAGTTGTATGTTTGGTTATGAGTTGTAAGTTTTTGTATTAAATATCGTATATCACATTAAAAATTTTTCACTCAATTTAAATTTTTTTTCAAAACTCATTCACCAAACAAATTTTTCACACTCAAATCATAATTTTAAAACTTATAAATTTAAAATATAACTCTTACTCTCTAATTATATTTATCAATTTGCCAAAATGATCCTGTATAACATGTCATTAACATATAGTATTATTTTTTTCACGCGCCAAGGCACGGCCCATGATGATCCTCTAGTCTAGAGCCTGTTTGGTATGTTATTTTATTCATCATCTCATTATTTAAAGTTCTCTAATCCAGAAACAGATCAAGCTTGACAATTTCGGCCAGTTTGATTTAGTGTAACCGTTAAAATAGATTATAATTTATATCAGATTATAAATTATGATTTTAATTAAAAATTATTAATTTATTTAGTATAATTATTGGATTATCCAAATCAATATCAAATCCAGAATTCAGCAAAAATGGTACCAAACTGAGTGTAGGCGAAGCATTTCACCAAATCACTGTTCTTAACCGTTGGGATGAGACGAACGGGTCGACCATCCGGTTGACCAACCGGTTAACCAACCGGTCGCCCCGGAGAAAGTTCAGACCGTTCACAAAAAGGTTCAAACCAGTCAAAAAAAATTTTTTGCCTAGGTGGTCTCGACCACCCAGTCGACCGCCCGGTTGACCACCCGGTCGACCACCAAAAGTTCAAAAAGTTCAAAAAAAAAGGGTTCAAACCGGTAAAAAAAAAAAAAAAATTTTGCCGTTACCGGTTGACCGGCCGGTCAACCAACCGGTTGCCCAGCGCAAATTTGATGAAACGGATTTGATGTTGAACCGTTGGAGCGCGAAGTATCAAATTAAGGAAATGACCCCTTTTTGACTCAAATTTGGTGAAATATTTGGTACACCATTAAAGATGCTCTAACATATAGTATTATTTTTTTCACGCGCCAAGGCACGGCCCATGATGATCCTCTAGTCTAGAGCCTGTCTGGTATGTTATTTTATTCATCATCTCATTATTTAAAGTTCTCTAATCCAGAAACAGATCAAGTTTGACAATTTCGGCCCGTTTGATTTGGTGTAACTGTTAAAATAAATTATAATTTACATCATAACAGATTATAAATTATGATTTTAATTAAAAATTATTAATTTATTTGGTATAACTGTTGGATTATAAATTTAAGTCCTTGAGTAGTGTTTGTTAAATAAGTTGTGAAGTACCTTATTTTTTATTATTTATTAATTGTTTACATTTCTCATTAAAAAAATAATAATAATTTATAGTTCATTTGGGTCTTTTTATATTTTTTGAAAAATAAAAAATAAAAAAATTTAAGAGTATAAGTGTAAATTAATATGTCTACAGTAAAAGTTGATAAACAGAAGTAAGGAATGAATAACTTTTCAAAATCAACTTTTTTAATAACAATCAGTGTGTTTGGTTTGAATTTTTTGAATTAAATTTTTTGAAAACTGAGTTTTTTGGTTTTCGTATTTTTTTGTTTTTAGTGAATATTTTTAAAATTTTAAACATTTTTTTTTACTTTTTTAGATGTACCTTATTGAGATGTATCTAAAAAATAAAAAATTTGTGAAAAAATATTTTTAAAAATTAATAAATACATAAAAATACAAAAAATGTACTGAATTAATAAATACATAAAAATATAAAAAATGTACTGAATTCTCGTATTTTTTTGTATTTTTGGTATTTAGTGAATTTTTAAAAGGTTTTTTTTCAATTTTGTTTTTACTTTTTAGGTATATTTATGTTAGGTATGTCTAAAAATTAAAGAAATTGCTGAAAATATTTAAAAAATTCAGTAAAAACAAAAAACCACGAAAAATAAAAAAGTAAAATTTTCTGAAAAGTGTTTTTAAAAAGTGGTAACCAAGCATAGCGAATAAGTTTTTAGAATCAGAAGTTATTTGAAATAAGTTTAATCAAACCGTCACTTTTCCAAAACTAAAAATTATAAGTTAACTCAAAAAAACCCAAACAAACATCCATTCATATATTCACCCCCCAAAAATATATTTTGCCTCCGTTTGGGAAGTGGGTTGGCTTTTTAGCTTTTTGACTTTTTGGCTATTTTAGCCTGGGGCTAAAAAGCTTGGTTTGGAAAGGATTTTTTGACTTTTTTTATGAGAAATGAGTGTAATAATTATAGATTAAATTTGATATTTTATTCTTTGTGACTAAAATAACCTATTTTATTTTTTATGACTGTTTTAGCTCCTAACCCACCAAAACCAACTTCCCCTATGCCATGCTTTGCATGGGTAGGACCATGCCCACGTGAAAATCACGTGCGTACGTGAGCATGAAGTCAGCTGCCCCTCCTCTCTCCCTCTCTCACTTACCCCTAAATAACAAATAAAAAAATAGCACATAACATTTTCATGTTTTTTTTTTTTTGTTTAAGTGATTTTTTTAATAACAAATATTTTACAAATATTTTACTTTTTAAGTGTATATAAAAATTATTTTTTAAAATTAAAACATATTAAAAAAAAAAATCAAAAATAATTTTTAAGTTTATGAGAAGTATCATTTCAGAACATGCCTATTAAAATGACATTAATTTATAAAATTATTATCGTTGCATCATTTTAAAATTAATGATAAATTCTGTATAAATAATATATATATATATTTATTAAAGTTCACAACCAACACATAATGAAAGAAAAAATATTAGAAACCCCAACACATGATAGAAATTTTTATATAATTTTTAAAATCTTTAACATTTTTAAAAAGTACAAAATCGCCAAACCTTGAAGGCTCCCATGGTGTTTGGGAAGTGTGGTTATTTTAAAAAAAAAAAAAAAAATTAAAAAATTATTGCATCGTCTTCTCTATCTTATACATATCTTTTAATAAAAAAATCAAAAAATTAAGTGAAATAATCAATTCCGAGGCGGTACCTCATCCACCATTGTCTCTATATATTTTCATTTTCTAAGCCTCTCTTCACTCCATAGAATTAGCAACGAAACCACCATATGAATCTCATGAACTCCCAAAACCAAAAGCATCAGTCATCGAAACACAACAAGAAGAGGCTAACACAAGACCAAGTGAGGCTCCTAGAGACCAGCTTTAGCTCCAGCAAGAAGCTCGAGCCCGAGCGCAAGCTCCGGCTAGTACAGGAGCTGGGTATTCCTCCCAGACAAATCGCCATTTGGTACCAAAACAAGCGAGCCAGATGGAAGGCTCAAAAGCTTGAGCTTGATTACGGTACTCTCCAGCTAAGGCTTGGAACTGCATTAGCCGAGAAAAGAAGGCTTGAAAAAGAAGTTGAGCGGCTAGGAAGAGAGTTGGAGGAGGCACACATGGTGTTGCTCTCTTTAAAGCAACCACCACCAAAGTCATCACCGCCACTGCCGCCACCACCACCACCACCACCACCGGTTTCTTGTCTCTCTAGCTGCTCTAGCTTGCATGAGGGTCATGTGAGTTGTTGTTGTTGGGTGAATAATGAGGCTTTGCAGCTTGAGGAGCTATATGCTTGTTTGACTGGTGCAGATGGGTCAAATTGCGCATAAACACAAATCACTATTTGTGTCTCGGGGACGGGATTAGAGATCTTTTGTCCTTAAAATTTCAGTCATCCATCTTTAATATATGTTTAAGTGACTTAAATTTCAAAACATGATCAGGCATGCTATTGAGAGGATGTTAGAGATAGATGGAGAGATTTTGAAACAGATAATCTCTTACTCAAGAAATATCTGTATGTGAAAATTTTCTCCAAGTTTAATTTCCATATTAACTTTTGTTCAGAATATTTCATGTAAATTTCTCTCATATGGAGAGTAGTTTAGTTGATTGTGTATAAATTTTTTAGTGTTATTGTATTTGGTTGAAATAATTGCGAGGAATCCTTTGCAACCAAATGGTATGAATTAATACTGGAGAAAATTTTAATTGTTATGCGACACAAACATTTTGTTTAAAACATTTTAAAAAAAAAAACATAAAATATGTACAAAACTTATTAGATAATTTTTCCGGTACATGAATGACAATATTCTCTAATCATTTTAATATGCAAAAAGCTAGAAACTCAGATTGATAAAATCTATAAAATACATTTGAACTATTAATTATTATTTTTGAATAAAAAATTATGAATTTACAATACCGATGCTGTAGTATTGAACTCACCAACCGTTCACAAGCTCATTTGAGCCCACACCCCCAACCAACTGGGACGACTTTGATTGAGACAGAAATGAATACGACTTTAGAGAGAGAGAGAGAGGAGCAGGAGGAGGTGGAGTCGTCAACGCAGCCTTGAACAAGTGGCTTGTTCATTCAATAGCATTATGGACATTTCGCTTGCCATTGCGGAATGTCCCCCTAGTCAATTGGGACTTTACTCCTTTAATATTTAAGCTTCGTTTAAAAAGTAGGTTAATTTTTAATTTTTTAGTTATTTTAGTCTGTGTTAAAAAATCTCGTTTAAATTAAATTTTTTAATTTTTTTTTAATTTTTGTGAAAAAAAAAAATAATTATGATTTGAATGTGATATTTTGTCTTATCAACTTTTTAGTCAATTTTATCTTTTTGTAATTATTTTAGTCTTTTAGCCTCCCAACTCAACATGCCAAACGAGGGCATAACCATTTTTATACTTTGGTTCTTAATTATTTTTCTCACTTTGGTTTTTTATGATTTTTTTTAATTTATTTTAAAAATTAATTTATGTTTAAATTTATACAGAAAAAGACACATTGACAATTTTGTGGTGTAAAATATTTTATTATATATAACTCATATTATTAATACAAATTTAATTATCAATATTATAGTGGGTAAAAATTACACCACCTAGTCGTGGCAGTGTTCCGGCGGTGTTTAACTCCTTGAACTTACAAATACTCACAAAAGGTGAACGGTTTGGTTGGGGAGCAGCTTGCTGACACTCCGGCGCCCAAATTAGAAGTTAGTTGGGCCTACAATTTAGGAATACGCCTTGACAAATGTCAAGTTTGGAAAGTCTCAAAAAAAAAGTTAAAAAGTTAATTAAAAAGTTAAAAAGTTATCACTATTCACCAAAAGTCAACAATTATGACTGCACAACTTCCAATTTATAATTTTTTATTACACATTTTTTTATAAAAAGTCAAAAAATAAATTTAAACATTCATATTTTCAACCTCAACTTTTTAATTTAAAAAGATAAAAAATATACTTATTTAAGACACCCCAAATAATCCCTAAGTCTTCTAGGGCGTGCTTCTTGCCCCTCTGAATCTCTGATCTTGGGCTTAAGTGTCTAGACTTGAACCCTCAATTTTGACCCTATATTTTAGTTTTGAACTTCGTAATAGATCCAAGTCATCGGGACCTGGGTCTCAAAGTTCTGGACGACAAGTACTTTGACTTACCAAGATACCATTCTGGAACTAAGGCCTCGTTTGGGAACAGGTTAATTTAGTAATTTTTTGGCTATTTGACTAAAAAGGTAGGTAAAAAAAATTTGTATGTTTGGAATGACTTTTTGGCTAATTACGAAAAGATGTGCAAAAAGTAGAGAAAAAAGAGAATCTTTGACTTTTTAGTATGAGTTGTTGGCTTTTTGACTAATTTAGTAACTTTTTGACTAATTGGCTAAAATAGCCTCTTGCCAAACGAGGCCTAAATTTATGGTCCTGCTCAGTCATAACTCATTTTAGCTTCGCATAAAAATAGTAATCAGTATGTTGGATTTGAGGTTTTTAGATTAAGTTTTTTGAAAATTATTTTTTTTTGTTTTTGTATTTTTTTATTTTTAGTGAATATTTTTAAAATTTAAACATTTTTTATATTTTTTTAGATACACCTCACTTCGATGTATCTAAAAAGTAAAAAATTTATAAAAAAATATTTTAAAAAATTAATAAATATATAAAAATATAAAAAATGTACTGAATTCTTGTATTTTTTATGTATTTTTGGTATTTAGTGAATTTTAAAAAAAAAATTATAATTTTTTTACTTTTTAGGTGTATTTATGTTAGGTGTGTCTAAAAAGTAAAAAAATTGGTTAAAATATTAAAAAAATTTAGTAAAAAAAATACGAAAAATAAGAAAGTAGAATTTTTTGAAAAATATTTTTTGAAAAGTGAAAACAAGCAATATTTTTTATGTCATATAGCTAGTAACGTAGCATTTTTTTTTTATTTTGAATAAAAGTTAATTTTAGAAGTAAATTGAGAAAAATTTAAAATATAAAGAGCCAAAATAAATAAAAAAAAAATCAAGGATAAAAATAAAAAATTACCAAATAAAAAATAAACCAAAAATAATTTGCACTGTCAACATTCTTCTCCTCTCTCTTCTATTCAATTACGTGTAAAACCAAGCAAAGGTTTGTTTAGGATGTGGTTTCATTTCATAATCACTAGTATTTTTTATCGTTGGGAAAGTTGAGTTATTTTAATGGCGTTAGCATTATAAATTTGTAATTTTATTATTATTTATTTTTTATATAATTGTACGATATGCGGCATCTTTCTATTCATTTGGAGATTATGAGAATTTATGAAATGTGAAAAGATGATCGAGAATAAAGTGGAAAACATGGAGTATGAATTGGAGGTTAAAGGAAGTTATGAAGACGTGGAGGGATATGTGGAATTGTGGGAATGAAGATGGAAGAGTGGTAGTTTTAGGTGGTTATTGGGTAGTTATTGCTGGAAGTTTTTTTCTACAAATATTTGTCTATAAATAGTCATTCATGGTTACATTGTAAAGGATTCAGAATTCAAATAAAAGACAATTGATTTCAATATTTCTTACTATTTTCCTTATCTTAGGAGTAGTTTAACATAAATTTATATTTCGAAGTATTTATTTTTAGCATTTTCTTTTCAAAGCATTTTATGCACTTCCTTTTCGAAGCATAGGAGTAGAGGTAAGTAATTATTACTTTGATTGTTCACTCAATCATCTTTCTTTGTCCCTCTTTCTTCTTTTACTTTTTCTTTTCTCTACAGTTGACAATTTTGAAGTCCTCTTCGTTGAGGCAAAAGAACCGTCAACACAATCGCTTGATAATTGGCTTGAATTTAATCTGTAAGGATTTTTCAATCCTTGTTGGCACGCTGGCATTTATGACATTTTTCTTCATAAGAAAAATAAGCCAACAAATTGTTTTTCTCAATCATCTTTCTTCATCCCTCTTTCTTCTTTTACTTTTTCTTTTCTCTACAGTTGACAATTTTGAAGTCCTTTTCGTTGAGGCAAAAGAACCGTCAACACAATCGCTTGATAATTGGCTTGAATTTAATCTGTAAGGATTTTTCAATCCTTGTTGGCACGCTGGCATTTATGACATTTTTCTTCATAAGAAAAATAAGCCAACAAATTGTTTTTTTGATTTTTTTAATTTAATTAAAAAAGTTATGTTTGGGAAGTTGGTTGGTGTGTGTACTTTTTTTTAAAAAAAAGATAATTTGATAATTGTGAGAGAAAAAATAAAATAATTATGATTTGATGTGACATTTTGTTTTATTAATTATTTTAACCTATTTTATTTTTATTGACTATTTTAATAATAAATAAAAAAACCATTGCCAAACAAGACCTAATGTTTTTTTTTTCTTAAATCAAACGTTAACATCATAAAATCAACAATTATGTCAAAAAAGATAATCACTATGCTTGGTTGTGTTTTTTCAAATCACTTTTCAAAAATTATATTTTCTTATTTTTCATGTTTTTTTATTTTTACTGATTTTTTTTAATATTTTAAGCAATTTTTTTTTAACTTTTTAGATATACCTAACATAAATACCTAAAAAGTAAAAAATTTGTGAAAAAAATATTTTAAAAATTCACTAAATACCAAAAATACAAAAAAAAAATAATTAGAATTCAGTACATTTTTTGTATTTTTATGTATTTATTAAATTTTTAAAATATTTTTTCACAATTTTTTAACTTTTTAAATACATTTAAGTAAGGTGCATCTTAAAAAGTAAAAAAAATGTTTAAAATTTAAAAAGTGAGTTTAAATTTTATACTGAAATGATTCTAGCAGTATATTTTTTCATAAATATTTACTAAAAACAAAAAAATACAAAAACTAAAAAATTAAGTTCTCAAAAAACTTAATTCAAAAAACTCAAACCAAACACACTGAATGTAATTTCAATAATCAGAAATCCATGTAATTGTTAAAAATTTAAAAAGTCCATATAATCAAAACAAATACAGCAACATAAAATCAGAAAAACTACAAGACATCTCTGGCCCTTACATTTAACCAGGTCAAATTTAGAAGGAAAATTACAAATCATGTACTTTTTAAAAATAATTACATATACATAAAAAAAAAATTATGACTTTAATAATTAAAATATAAAAACTTTACCATTAATGTGATTTTTTTTTCCAACCCTATACTGATTTGTTGTTTCTCCAAATTTAAATTTGAGTAAAAAAATTCCTAAAATCCTCTCCATTTCTTTACTCAAACTAATATAAAAATGAGTTTTTTTACTTAAATAAAAAATACTAAAATGTTTACTCAAAATTATTTTGAAACTTTTAAATTTATCACTCTACTATTTATTAAAAAAAATATATTTAAATTCATACTTATATCTAAATTTGTCCATTGTGATACTCCATATATCAAACAAATTTTGAGTTAATTACTTACAAGTCCGGTTATAAGGACCAATATACCATTAAATTCTACAGGTATTTCTATAGATAAAAAAGTTTTAAAATGACCTTTTCTGTGAAGAATTTATAAATTTTTTTGCTAAAAAACGATAATTAGTAATGTTTGTGTGACAAATTTTTTAAATTATCACTAAAAACTAATAATTAGTGACACTTTCTATAGAAATGCTACTAAAAAAATAAAAATAAAATTTTGTGATAACAATTAAAAGTGAATAAGACTTTTTAGT